TCATAGGATGCATCAAAAGAAACAAGTCTGCCAGAGGTACCAGTGAATTTTACAGAAACTTTAAATGATCTAAAGAAGCTGCTTTCTTAGCTTGTAGAGCTTGAATAAAATCGCAGCATAATGCCAGAAATGTTGATAGCCAACTCTGTTCTATTTCTGTGCCAAGTAGAGCCTATCACAGTCATACATGCTAGTACTCAGACACTCCTGATGACAGTGTTGTTCTAGCCATTTTGGTCCCAGGATGTTAGAGAGAAGGTGAGTGAGAATATCTTATTCAACCAACTTTTGTTGGTGAGGCTTTTCCTACACTGGACTTCCTTCAGCAAAACTTTTGTCGTTCAGGGGTGTGAACCCTCCCCTGAACGACAAGAGTTTTGCTGATGAAAAGCGCCAGTGTGAACAGCGCTTCATTAGCAGGAGAGCTCTCTCCTGTTGACAAACAGCGGCTACACTGTGCGCCTTTTAGCAGCATAGCTGTAGTGGCACAGCTGTGTTGCTGAAAGGTGCGTCAGTGTAGACATAGCTAAAGAGACACTTTTGAGCTTATACAGTGCTCTTCTTCTGGGAAAGGTAATCAGTGTGTCATAGCTGACTACAAGATCCAACAAATAGTTTAGCAAAACTATTCTAAGAGACAATTCAGTGTGAAGTAGCCCATTAACACCCCCTTTTTCTCCTATAACTATGAGGGTGGGGTTAGTGTAATAAGATATAAATCCAGTGTCTTAATAAAGACCATGATTTTTAGGTCTACCAAAGTTATGAACTTAGTTCCCTGGCTCATCATCTTTTGAAAGTATTGTGCAGGTTTCCCTTGAGGATAAGAACTGACAGGTCAGATATAGAATGATGGCTTTGTGAAAAGTGTTCACCCACAGGTGAGATAGTGTGTCTTTTCCTGAGTTCATTTGAGAGCATAGTGATGGTCTGGTTTCACATACATAGTTAATGGGGTATTTATTGCATTAGATAAGGTACACCACCTGTGATAGGTATATGTAAGACCCATGGAACTTGAAAGGTGCATTGTGGGGAGTGTTGACCATTATAGTAGTGGAGATATGTCTGCAGGTTTTGCATCTGTTTTTCTGGCAAGGTTGGGTGCCGCTTTGAGTTGGTGGGTCTTGGTCTGTGGGGAGCTTGCTTCTGATGTTGATGAGCTTGGAGAGGTTGGGGGGGTTGTGTGAAGGCCAGAAGAGGAAAGATTTTTCAAGTATGGATGGTAGTTTGAGGATACCCCATATGGATTCCAGTGTGAGGTGGCAACTATGTGTTTAGTCAGAGGGGGGTTTATTTCTGTATTGAAGCAGGTTCTCTTGAAGTATTTGGATGGCCTCTTCCATGATGCGAGCTACTTCTCTGGTGGAGTATCCTTGTTTGGTGAAGGTGGTTTTGAGTGTAAGTGTATATCCCAGACTGTCTCCTCAGAGCATAGTGCCTGGCTGGAGATAACATGTCTTGGTGCATTTGTGAAGGTTACTGGATCTATAAAGGTAGGTGTGCTGATCTGTGGGTTTCTTAGTTGCCTGAAGTGTTCCATTGTTGAAGCCAATTGTGGTGTCTGGGAAGTTGATGCTAGTGGGGAAATGTTCCAGAGAGTTTAATGGACAGGTGGTGGTTGTTGAAGGTGTGGTGAAAATCTGAGGGTGTTTGTTATTTGTCCAGAGGATGAAAATACCATCAATGTATCTCACATGTATCATTTGCAAATGTACTACAAAACCAATTATCTTGGTACTAGCACATAAGTAAGTGACTAAATGGCCTAGAGAATAAACAGTTAACAGATTTACAACAGAAACTGTGAAACAAGTTAAGAGTATGGAGGCATGGGAAACTGGACTAGTCTCAGCAGCAGACAGAATACCAATGAAACAATCTTATATTAACGTTGGCTGGAAACTTCTGGGACAATCCAGAAATGGAGCTTCAAGATGTGACTAAAAAGTAATTTAGCAAATCTCTTCATAAGCATGTATTCTTTTTAAGTTTGTTAAGTACTCAGGACTAGATTTTTAAAGGCATTTAGGCATTACCCTGCTCAGCATTGCAATGCTTAACTGATTTAGGAGTCTAAATTTCATTTTTAAAAGGGATTCAGGCACTTAGGAGCCTAAATCCAAGGTGCACCAATGCCAAAATACCTTTAAAAATCTGGGCCTCTGTTTAGGGTAACAGACATGCAACATTACATATTCAAAACCAACATTTTAAAGTTCATTTTAGGAGTCAAGTGAAATAAGATGCATGTATCTTTTGAAAGGCCAATTCCATAAATGCATACATTAGCCAAAGCAGATGATACTTGGCTTAGCTGGAAAGACTCTCTGCACATTAAACTAACAGCTAGGCATAATTGCGTAATAGAAAGACATTCTTGCAGTTCATAGAACATGCTTATCAAGATGCTTAGTACAGCTATGCTGCATTTAATATAAATTTGTGCACTTACATATTTGACAAGGCCCATACACAACTGTAGACACAACCTAGCTCAGTCATTGTACCGAATGCTGAACATATTTGTGTCTTCCCTGCATCTGTAATTTAACACAAGCACTCTTGAAAAAGCTAGCCCTTTAAAGGAAAGACATCAGCAACTTCCACCTGCTGAAGACAGAAGTCAATTAAGAATGTTTAAACATCAAAGCAATCTTGGGGGAGATTTTCAAACTCTAGGTACACAACTACACTAACGCTCCTCTGTATGCCTTTTGAGCATCTAGGGGAAGATGCCTCAGATGTTTAACCCTAACTCACTCACCCTTTGGATCCATCCAGGAAACAGACATCTTAAGCAAATTTCCATGGGCATCATTAGATTTAGGAAGGAGTCATCACCATCCATGCTGTGGTCACAGCAATTGCAACATAAAACCTAGGTTGTATTTATAAACAATTTGACTACAATAAAGAGAAAGGTTACAGCACTTATTAAACTGGATATAAGGATTACCTGCTGTGGCACCTTCTAATTTGTGTGTTGATGCAAATATTTTCTAATCTAAAAATTCTTAAATATTTGAATCCTCTATAGTACATTTTCAATCCAGCTAAGTTGTACCAGTTTAACCTGCAAGTTTTCATGCAGTGCTTCATCCAGATAGTTCTTTAATACAAACTCACTGTCCATTTGGAATTATGAAAGCAATATTTTACTACTAAGCAAATAAAGATCACCTCATGTCCAAGTTTAATACAAAAAACATTTTCAAGTTCACTGAAAGCTCACATACAAATGGTATGATCTGACACAAACTTGAGTTAAAAATATGCATCCATCTACTGCAGTGGGAAAACTTAGCTATACAACGCTGCCTTTTCAACTAGCCATTTTCAAAAGCACTTAAACGATTAAAATTCTATGTTAAAGACGCATTCAGCTACACACTAGAAACAGGAGTATTTATATTTAGAAATAAGTTTCATGGAAGTGAGGAACTGGAATGTACTTAAAATCTCTAGTTAGAGATTTGAGAATCATGAGACAGACATGAAATAGGTCAGATCACCTGTGGGAAGACAAAAGTCTGCTAAATGCAAAAAACGTTTATTTTTTTCCATGTTGTACTCGGTCCCTTGATACACCAGTGAAAACAACTGAACTATTTGCAATCTCTTCTCCCCATACAGTCAATACCAAAAGGTTCCAGCAACATCTCTTTTCCCTCCCTTTCCTATCATGTACTTTGATTTTTTTCCAGCACCAGTTTACCAAGGTAAATATTGCTCATTTTATAGCAAAAATGTATATCACATTTGATCCATGCCCACCCCCTCCCCAAAAGTGCCCTTAGGGACAAGATGAATTACACACACTCTAAAACGAATGTGTAAGTCCTTAATGAAAGCAAATACTAACCCACATTATATTAACTTCTGTTAATCAAAAATAGGTTGATAAGAAAGTCTAGGTAAGAGTGGGACATACTAATTTAGACAAGACATCGGAACACATCATTAGAGATTTAAAGGCCTCTAGTAATACTTTTTGTAGTAATTAGCGCAAGACAGTTCTCACATAAACAACTATTTGATGGTAGACTTCAATGATAAACAATTCACTTGATGACATTTACATATAAATACACATAAATAAAACCCTATATAATTTAGGTCTGAAATTAACAAAAAGTGTGACTTGAACTGTAATTGCATCTAGCTGTATCAGAGCTTTTCCTCTAATGATGCTCAAGTTGTATAAAAAGCATAAATTGTACAATTTAGTTTAGTAAAGTACTACTCTATAAAACAGAATCATGAAAACAGCGCTTACATTTTAATGTAATGTATAAAATGTATATTTACATTTACACACTTTACTGAACTACATAAGGTAGCTCATGGTAAAAAACAAATCCCTTCTTGAAAGTCTTTCAAAAATACATCAACTGCAAATATTTATGATTAAAAGTTACTAAATTAGCAGCTGACAGGACATTTATAGTAAAAAATATACTTTAGGAAAATAGCTGGAAAAAATCTAAACATTGATAAACACTTTAAAACTATATTTAAACAGAAAATTTTAGCAAAAACAGACAAAAACTAGGGTAATGGGAACTATTGCATATTGCTCCTCAAGAGCCCTGCAGTAACTGCAGGCAGAACAGAGGAAGTGGATAGGGAAGGAATTAAGTGGTGGTAGGAATGAAGTGTTGATCCAGAATCAGGATCTCTCTCTATAACTGCTGCCTCTTTTAGGTGGGGGGGGGGGGGGGGGAGGAGGAGAGAAGGGAGAAGGAAAACAAAAGACAG